ATGACCCAACCCAAACCCAAACCCAATCCCCAACTGCTTCTTTGGGGTCTTGTTTCCAAAAACAAACCCTAGGAAGAGCCGCTTCTCTTGACTCCGGAATTGCAACTTTTTCTTGACATTTTAAATTTTTAAAAATATTATTCCTACACACCATTTAAATTTTTATTCCATTAATGAATACCGTATTAAATTCGGATTTACTAAAATTGCATCTAAAAATGTATGCTCCAATTAAAGAAGTATTTTTAATCTTAATACCCTAAAAACTTTAGTTCTTAAGATCAACTTTCATCTCTACTAATAAACTAAGTGAATTTGATCCGCATTAAATGAATTAGTCATCTAAAGAAGTGAGATGAACTAGAAATTTCAGGAATTGGAGTATATTTTTTTCTTTAGATATTTTATTAATTAAAATATTTCTCTATTCGATGCAAGTTTCTTGATAGTAATTTTTTTTATTAAAGTCAAGAAAATGAATATTTTGAAATGTATTGTTTAAATTTTAGAATGATAATTCATCGTCAAGAAAACATTATTAATTAAATTTTTCTTCACAAAATGCTTAAATAAATTCAATACTATCTGTCTTTTACTCCTTACATAGCATCTTGATAATCACAGAATATATTTATTCATCAATTACTTTTACTTTAGCTATTACCTCATACAAATCATCTTTCCATTCAGAAGGATATTTTCCTGTTGATCTAATTTAATCCTATAATTTTAATTTCATTTTTACTTAGACAACTCCTCATATTAATTCTTGAAATTTTCCTAAAATATATTTATTCCTTATTCCAGATTTTTCTATATCCTACCCATATTAACACAAAAAGGAGTCCTTCTAAGCCTGTCCAATTATCTAGTTTTTCCCCCTTCTACAATTTATATTAATATATCTAAGTCTTCATAATTTGATTAAGCCTTAGAATACTAGCCTCGCCGACAAGATTCTTATATAGAATATTTTATGATAGAATTCTCTCTTGAATAGAATCTATTACTTCTGTAACTTATCCAAAAAAAAATTACATTATTTCCTAAGTTCTAGACATTATGGATTTAAACGAATCTCTCATTGTGATTATTTTCGAAAGATTATTAAGCTCATATTCATTCATTTTCTTTTTTGCCTGATCTCGAAAATTTTAATCATCATC